TAGAATTCACAGCAGAACTAGTACATGCAATGATGGCAGTTAGGATGGGTGGCAGCATGTCAAATGTTCAGGGGGTGAGACCCAAGTCCCGGCAGTGTCAGGACTCTGGCCAATGACCTGGTGTTCAAGACTGGCCCCAATTCCCAGGGAGAACTAGAAAGAAACCCACAGCTGAAACCCAGGTAAATGGAATAAAGCACACCATGCAGTGAGGGGTCAGGTGGCTGCCCTGTGGGCTCCTGAATGACATTTCCTCTGTTACCACCAAGGTGGTATTACATGTGGTCAGGACCTAGCATCTGCCCTATGGCTCAGAGTGTCCAGGGAAGAATAGCAATTGATACTAATCTCTTCTTTTCCTGATTTCCACAACAATCTTAAGCCCTTAAAAGAAATTATACTTAAATATCGCAAACTCTACAAGTAAAATGTTATTATTCTTCCCCAGCAAAAATAAACAAGAAGAAGACAAAGCATAAAACCTTTCAAGTGATTTTTTTTTTTTTTTTTTTTTGGTGCAGTACGCGGGCCTCTCACTGCTGTGGCCTCTCCTGTTGCAGAGCACAGGCTCCAGACGTGCAGGCTCAGCGGCCATGGCTCATGGGCCCAGCCGCTCCGTGGCATGTGGGATCCTCCCAGACCAGGGCACGAACCTGTGTCCCCTGCATCGGCAGGCGGACTCCCAACCACTGCGCCATCACTTGATTTTTTGTTAAAAATCAAGTGATTTTTAACAAAAACCATTTTTCATTTGTGGAACAAACGTTGGGTATTATTTTCACCAAAATATTTTCAGTCCCAAATATACTGAAAGTACTTATTTATCATCAAACTACTTAGAGTAGAATAATACAGAAAGTCAATGCCACCTTTCAGTTGAAGTTTAAATATGGTATTACTCAGATTTTTCAATTTTGGTCTCTGACAACAGAATCTAAAGATGCATTCACTTTAGCGGCAAATGACAAATTTGATTTTAAAATAAAAAACAAGTAATTGTTGTGTATGATTTCAATTATCTCTACATTTTAAAGTTATTCCTATTCAGGAATTCCCTGGCGGTCCAGTGGTTAGGACTCAGTGCTTTCACTGCTGCGACCCCGGCAAGCCGCACGGCACAGCCAAAAAAAAAAAAAAAAAAACCTACTCCCATTAGAAAACAAAGATCCAGTGCGATAAGGAAAATTCTTTTGTGTCAACATAATCTATCAAAATACAGTAAATATCCTTTGACAGTTCCTGAAGACCATACAACCGTACACGTGTCCGGGACTGTCCTAGCTCTGTATGACTCCACCACCCTGGGCTGCCAGGTCAACAATGAGCAAAATGCTGGCTTTTTCACACAGCTCTGCAGAACTATGAACTACCTGCTTTATGAAGGCAAGCCCAGGGGAAAAATAATGAAATAATGAAACAATGAACAGGTTATATGATTTTCTTCTCTGATGGAGTGTATTTTCAACTTCACAGGCAGCTCAATCAAATAAAAGGGATGTACAGGAGAGGAATGGGAAAGATCTTCCTTTCACCCACCTTGCCTATAATACTCCACACCCATAATAATTCCATATCCCATAGTAATAATAATTTTTTAAAAATTACTAGCTTGCAGGGTGACTATGGTCATACTTGCAAAACTATTGCAAAAGTACTTCACCTTGCAATTCTTGAATGTTTAAAGAACAACATTCTAGAGCTTTTATTAAAGTTTTTCCTTATGTCCAAATTGCTTTGTATTGAATGAACTTTAAGAATGGGAATACGACTGACTTTGTCCCCTGTCCCATTTCCCACATGGAAGGGTCCTGATGCTTTCTGCAGATCTAAGCGCGCACCATATGTTCCATCAGCGCAGACAGGTGACCCCATGGAAGCTCAGAAGTCTTCCAGGGAAGCATTTACTGGGTGCAGCCTTAATTAACTAATTACCCTGGAGCGGGGGCTGTGGGAGGGAAACCTGGGAATGTAAGTTAACCTTGCTTTGTGAAACCTCAGTATTTGAAATGTTTTACAGCTATCAAAAAATAAACTTTACACAAAAACGCTGTCCAAATACAAATTTCATGTTGTGAAATATTTCATAAATAGAAATCACACAGCAATGTTCCTATTGTGCTTTTCAGACTGGTTGAACACTCAGTTTATCACTGTGTGCGCCGCTGGGTGAAGCACGTGTGCTGTTCCCACCGAATGACACAGATTTCAAAAAATAAGTATGATTAATTAGATAAGGTAAATGACTGATGTAAAAACTTCCTGCAGCAAGCTCTCTGTTTGGTCATTTACACGTGGTCAAGATGACAAAACCCTTTAAAGACAATTTTTAAGAAGTCCAACTACCTCAATATAATAAAATATTTAAAGGAGAGAAACAGGAAAATGGTAACCAGAGTGCATATAGAGAGAGCTAATCTACAATAAAGAATACACCACATGGGGAGGTGATGGAAGGGAACACTCTTTATAATAGGATCATTATTAACAAAAGTGTATATGAGAGTAATAACGGTGAGCTAGAAAAATATATTTCCCTTTAAAATCGAGTCAATTCCTATGAAAATGTAAACTCCAGCTTATGTCATCTCTCCCCTCCCCCAGTCCAATTTTTACAATAAGTAAAAGTTACACATTAACTTCCGAGTCTCCCAGCTGACAAAATGTACTCTTAAGCTTCGGAAACATCTAGATAACAGTCATTACGGTCAGAAGGAGAGACTGTGACACTAGGAGAAAACCCTACTGAAATGACACCTTCTCAGAGACGCTGTCTGCCTTTGTCTCCCCTTCATGGTGTCTTTCCTGTAGGGGAGAACAGTGGTATCTCTGCCCCTTGTCGTTGGGACTTTGGAAGCTCAATTTTGATGGGTAAATTCGGGACTTTGGAGTTTCTAGTCTGCAATTCTAGGATTTAGTTAGGGCCCTGGGTTTGCTGTAGGGAAGGGGTTGCCCTGTCCCCGTCTCCAACCCCACTCTGCAATGCTCCTGCCATCATCTCAGAGCCTCAGACCACAGACCCCTGGCACACACCCTGATCTCAAGGCAGCTGACAGAGGTTTATGGAACAGGACACTGCCTCAGCCACAGACTCCCTAAGTCCCAGGCTTGGACTACAGCCCCTCGCCCAGTAAGGCTGGGCCCCCCGCCCCAGGTCAGCAGGCAGCCCTGCATGCTCAGCCCCGGGGACGGGGTGTTGCTTTTTGTTTTCTTGCTTTGTTGTGGGCCTCCTCCCCCCACCCACCCCCGCCAAATACTTCCCAGATCTGGATTCTAAAAATCTTACTTCTAGAACCCAGTCATTGGTCAGTCATGTGCCGCATTCCCCAGATGTCCTTCTCCCCCTCAGGAAATTCCAGTTGTTGATACTTCCTAACTCTCTGCAAAGTGGAAGCGCTCTTAGAGGAGAATGCTTTTTCTCAAGTCCTGGGGTTTCCTTCCAAGTGGAGTGACTGCCACCAGTATTAACACCCTGGTCTCCCTCCACCTGCTGCTCTACTTCCCTCTTTCTCCTCCGAAAGGAGAGAAAGTGGTGGGTTCGAGTGGTGAGCCATCTGCCTGGTGAGTGAGCGAGAGGGCTATACCTTTTCCTGCCCCCGTTTGGAGCAAGGATGACACAGCGAGCATGATTCTGCTCTGTTCTCCTGCCCTGAGTGTTGGAGAGGTAGATTCCGCCCCCTGGGGGAGAAGGAGGGAGAACACGGGGACACGTAGAAACAAGACAAAAGAGTCTGGGAAACCAAAAGATTCTAGTGGACAGACTCTTTCCAGGAAGTGCTGTACCTTGGTCATATGTGTCACCCATCAGCCTCTAAGCTTTCTAAACGTCAACGTGGAAAAGGAGCTTTGACCGGTTGCACGATTCACAGGGCCCACAAGATAGATCGATTGTTCAGAGAAATGCAACTATTCCCATAACTAAGCTCAGAAGAAAGTTCGCCACAGGATCATTTTAAAGGGAGGTATTGGGTAATGCAGTGAGCAGTGTCTCTGCACAGTCCACACAATAAGCCAACATTGAGATGAACATCACAGACCTACTTCTTGATATGCCCTTTAATATAGACCAATGGCACCGCCGTAGGCCAGGTAGAAGCAACTCTGATTATCTGGGGGTAAGGCGGTTACTAGCATATAATTCATGGATGTATGTCTCTGATAGCATGAGCTAGTCCACGGTTGATTTAGAATAGTCCATGAGCAGGGCTTCCCTGGTGGCGCAGTGGTTAAGAATCTGCCTACCAATGCACGGGACATGGGTTCGAGCCCTGGGTTTGCTGTAGGGAAGGGGTTGCCCTGTCCCTGTCTCCAACCCCACTCTGCAATGCTTCCACATGCCGCGGAGCAACTAAGCCCGTGCGCCACAACTACTCGGCCTGCACTCTAGAGCCCATGTGCTACAACTACTGAAGCCCGTGTGCCACAACTACTGAAGCCCGTGCACCACAACTACTGAAGCCCATGCGCCTAGAGCCTGTGCTCCACAACAAGAGAACCCACCACAATGAGAAGCCCGCACACCGCAACGAAGAGTAGCCCCTGCTCGCCACAACTAGAGAAAGTCGGTGTGCAGCAATGAAGACCCAACACGGCCAAAAATTAATTAATTAATTAATTAAAAAAAAAAGAATAGTCCATGAGCAAATGGACTTTCCAACTGCACATCTTTCAGGGAGTCCCCAGGAAGCCTCTGATAGATACTGGGCAGTCATGAGTTAGAGATTATACACACTAGAAAGCGCTTGGAATGTGGCTTCTCTGTGTTGCTAATTGAATAGAGATCCACGAAGCCATGGTGACTAAGCCAAATAAGCCACCACGCTCAGGACAACGGTGGCATCCTCCTGGATAAGGTAAGGGGCCTGATGAGGACGCATCGGTGAGGGGAAGAGAAGCCAGAGCCCCCTGCCCAGATGCACGCAGAGGGAGTAGGGGGAATCGGGTGTCTGAGACTGTTTGCAGGTGAAGGTGTCCCGGGGTGTGGTCCTGTGGGTGGGTCTTACCGTAGGATGCTCTTCCTTTGAAGCCTTCTTTGGACTCTTGACTCTTTTGGCCTTAGAAGGCAATGAAACGGTGAAGGAAGAACGTGGCCTCGGAGCGCCTGCACTCCCGGGCTGTGAGGGCCACGGGGACAAGGTGGTTTCTTTCTCCTTGATGGCTCTGGGGCTCTGGCACAGAAAAAGAGCCAGCTCTGTTATTCCCACTATACATGCCTCCGATTCGCCTCCCTCTCTTTTCCTCCCTTGTCCTCCTCTCCTGAGCTAGAATCGCAGTCCCGAAGGGCCTGGATCTACTCTTGCTCCCTGTCCCACCATCCCCGGTCCCCCAGCGCCCCCGCTCCTGCCTGATTTCATTTGCAGGTGAGGCCCAATTTTCCATTCCTCCCACAGATGCTCGTGTGCTAAGAAAAACATACCAAGAGATCAGTGTTTTCTGGAAGCACCTGGAAAGGTGGGGTCTTGGTGGAATGGGGTGAGGTCGTAGCTTGAGGTGGGTGTCGTATTTGTACGGAGGTGGAGGTGGGCGTCGGGGGCCGCAGGCAGGAGCGACGGGACAGGAGTCTGAAGGGCCAGGGCATTGAGCCCGGGGGTTGGGACGCCAGTGACACCTTCCATTCTCACTCCCTCCTCACTGCTCTCACCCACCAGTCCCTCATCTCCCATGCACACGTCTTGCCTCACTTTTAAGTGTTTTCTCCTTCAAACTTGGATGTGGGAAAGTGAAAAGCCTCGGGATGGTGTGTATAGGTTCTTCAAGCCAGATGCCCAAATAAGAAATTAACAGAGTAAAAGAAAAAAAAAAAAAGAATTTAAATGCAAACCTTGGCGACTATGGCATCCAACTTTCTTGTCATTTCAAGGTCCGCTTTCTGTTTATTAACCTGTGAAATTAAAGACCCATGTCATTTGTTATCATTTGCAAAGATTAAGAAAGAGAATTTTTGGTAAACTTCTTAAGCAATGGAAGAGTGGCATTTTAAACCATTTCACTGTCCAAACTATTATAGGAATATAAATTATAATACTGAATGTAAATTAGAAGAGAAAATAAATTTGCACCCAGAAAAAAAAGTACTTTATAATAGAGATTATAGGAAAACATGCAATTGTTTGCTTATGTGTATTTATTTTATTAACATTATTGTGTACCAGGCACTGCACTAGACTCTTAGAATAAATAATACATAAACCTTGCCATCAAGCATTTAGGTTCTAGCAGAAAATGGGTTTCTAAAATGCTCCAATTAGGGAATTCCCTGGGCGTCTAGTGGTTAGGACTCTGAGCTTCCACTGTTGGGGGCAGGGGGTAGGTTCAATCCCTGGTGGGGGAACTAAGATTCCCACAAGCCATGAGGTTGGGAAAAAAATTAATTAAATGCTTCAATTAAAAAAAAAATTTATATATGCCAAAAAAGGAAGCAGTGCAAATGTTAGTTAGAAATAATAAAAATATGACCATCCGACTTGAGGAAGAGAACAATAGCTACAGTGTTGAATCTCCCTGTGTAATTGTAAGTGTCCCATGACCACCACCCTCCCAACCAGGTAATCACTATTCTGAATTTTGTGCTCGGGATTCCCTTTTATTTTTTTGATAATTTTTTGTCGCTTTTATAGGCTTATCTTTTTACCCCATTGGTATCCTTAAACAATATACAAATTTAGTTTTGCTTATTTTTAAACCTTGTTTAAAAATCATAATGTATGTGTTCTTCCTCCACTTGTTTGTTCCATAGTTTCTGAAATTAACCCATGTTGATACTGGAAATGGTTCATTCATATTGGCTGCTGTATTCAAGTGTATGAGTAGAGCATAATTTATTAATCCATTCGCTGTCAATGAACATTTGGGAAATTCTAATTTCTTTTATACATAATATGGCTTTGAATGTTCCTGTACCTGTTCCCCCAGGCACATGTGCTAGGGATCTTCTGTGGACATTATATGCCTAGGAGCGGAACTCTGGGGCATATGTTAAGAGAATGATCAGCTTCAGAAGATAACCCAAATTTGTTTTCCAAAGTTTTGGTAACAATATACATAGTCCCCAGCAGTTTATGAGAATTCTCTACTCCACATTCTCACCAACACTTGGTACTTTTATATTATTAATGAAATCAAGCACATTTTCAATCAATGTTCATTGGCCATTGAGTTTCCTCTTTTGTGAAGGGCCTGTTAAAAACTTTTGCCCATTTTTCTATTGGGTGGTTTTTTTCTTATTGATTTGAAGGAGTTATTCACATATTCCTGAAAACAGCTTTGTGAATACATAAATGGTGCGAATATCTTTGCCAAATTGGTGGCTAGATTTTAAACTTTCTTTGAGGGGGTCTTCTGGTGAAAAGGGGCCCTTAATTTTTGTGGGGTTGAAATTTTTAACTTTCCTTTTATGCTTTATTTTGTGTCTTGTTTAGGCAATAATTTCTACTTGGAGTTCATATGATTTGTTCCCTAGAATTTTAAAAGACTGTTTTCCCTTTATATTTGAATGCTTAATCCATACAAAATGGGTATGCATCATGTGAGGTAGGGAGCCAGTTTCATTTTATGCAATTGTTGAATCAATTGTTAAGCATCTTTAGTGAAAATTCCACCCTATTTACATTGATCTGTGATACTGATATATATTATTTACGTATGTCTGGTTCTGCTCTGGGTTCTCTGTTTTCTCCCAATGGTCTATCCCTGGCCCAGTATCATGATGTCCTAATTACCTTAAATTTATATTAATAGCTTACAGGAGAAATCGCTCCCTACTCCATCATGTCATTGTTTCACTTTGTTTCCGAGCTATTCTTGACCCTTGTTCTTCCATATTAATTTTAAAATAAGCTTGTCAATTCCATGAAAAACCTTGTAGTAATTCTGGTTGGAATTTTATTGAATATAGAGATCAGTTTGGTGAGAACTATTATCTCTAAGATAATCTAGTTTGCCTATGGCGACTAAGTTATAGCTCTCCATTTTAGTTTTTGTAATCCCCTTAAGTTTTTTTTAAAGTCTTTATTAATCCCAGTCAATAATTTTTTTTAAGTCTTTATTGAATTTGGTAATATTGCTTCTGTTTTATGTTTTGGTTTTTTGGCCGCGAGGCATGTGGGATCTTAGCTCCCCAGCCAGGGATCAATCCCGCACCCCTTGCATTGGAAGGCGAAGTCTTAACCACTGGACCGCCAGGGAAGTCCCAATAGGTTTTATAATTATTTTCCATGGAGATTTTTACAAATTTTTATGAGATTTATTTATGAGCCCTTTATAAACTTTGCTATTTAATTATAAATTTTTATAAATTATAATTTCTCCTAATTTTTGATTGAGAAATCCAATTGATTTTAGAATGCTGATCTTCTATCCAGCAATCTTGTTAATTTAAATAATTTGTCTTTAAGTGTTTTGCGAGGTTGGCTAAGTGGACAATTGCATCCTCTTTGAATAATAACAGTCTTGTTGTTTTCCATTCTACTCCTCACACCTCTTGCTGTCTTTTTTTCTTATTCTACTACACTGGCCAGAATTTCCAAAATAACTAAAAAAATGGTATTAGGCAACCTTACCTTGTACTGATTTTAAAGAGAATGCTTCCTGTGTTTCACCAAGAAGTCTGTTTGCTGTAGGTTTTACTCTTTAGCAAGGTAAAGAACTTCCTCCTGCTTCTCATGGGACAGCAGTGTGTATGTGCACACCTGTGTGTGCATAAGATTGGATGTTATTTTTTCTCAAAGAATTTGCATCAACTCAGAATATCATATAATTTTTCTCCTGTAATCTGATTGTGTGGGGAATTACATTAATAGCTTTTGCCCAAATCCTTTTAAAACTTGTTGCATTATTTTGAATGTTATTTTTTCTCAAAGAATTTGCATCAACTCAGAATATCATATAATTTTTCTCCTGTAATCTGATTGTGTGGGGAATTACATTAATAGCTTTTGCCCAAATCCTTTTAAAACAAATCCTTGTTGCATTCTTTTGAATGTTGCAGCTTGAGCCTAATATTGTTTGTGAGATTCATCCATATTGTTACCTGTCACTCTAAGTTATTCCACAACTAATTTAATTTACTCTAGTTTAGATGGACATTTGAATTGTTTCCAATTTGGGGCTATTACCGACAATGCTGCCCTGAACATTCTTGAAAATGTCTCTCTTTTGTGAGTCATTCTAAGGTATCCTCATCTTAAACAATAGTAGAAGATTTGCCAAACAATTGTCAAAATTAGTTCTACTACCTTTTGAGAGTTATGAAAGTTCCCCTTGCTTCACAACTTTGCCAACACTTAGTACTGTAAGCCTTTTATTTTTGTTCTTAAACAATCAATCTGGTGTGAGCAATACTGTTTCTTCATGGTTTTACTCTGTTTCACTTATTGTTGAGGAGATTGGATATATTTTTGTAGGTTCCTCATCTGAATTCCCACTTTTCAACTCTTTGCCTATGTTTCTAGTGGATAGTATGTCTTTTATTAAATTGATTTTAGGGCATATTTATATTTTGGGGGTACTCATACTTTGTCAACTCTATGACGTGTGAAATCATCACTACAGTCAAGATAATGAACATACCCACCACTCCCAAAAGTTTCCTTATGCCTCTTTGTCAGTCAGTCCTGCCTCATCACCAGGCAACCACTGATCTGCTTTCTGTCACTATACATTAGTTTGCATTTACGAGAATTTAAAGTAAGTTGAACCGTACAAAGGTATTCTTTATTTTGTCTGGCTTCTTTCACTCAACATAGTATTTCTGAGATTCATCCTTGTTGCTGTGTATAAGAACGATCCATTTCTTTTTATCTCTGAGTAGTATTCCACTGGGTAGATAAGGTACAACTTATTTACCCATTCACCTATTAATAGACATCAGGGTTATTTCTCCTACGAACATTTACATGCAAGTCTTTGTGTGAATATACATTTTTACTTACCTCAGATAAATACTTAGGAGTGGAATAGCCAGATCACATGATAAGTATAGATATAAATTTTTAAAAGTACTTAAATATTTTCTAAAGTGGTTGGATATTCTACATTCTCACCAGCAGTAAATGAGAGTTCTAGGTGTTCCTCACTTTTGACAACACTTGATGCGGTCAGATTTTGACATTTTAGTCAGTGTAGTGAGTATATAGTGAGTGATAATATCTCCCTGAGATTTTAATTTGTATTTCCCTAAAGATTAATGATGCTGAGCATCTGTTCATGTCATAGTTCGCCACCCATACGTCTTCTTTGGTGAAGTGTCTGTTCAGATTGTTTGCCCATTTAAAAAATTGGGCTGTTGACAGTGTTACTGAATTGTAAGACCATTTTGTGTATTCTAGATGCAAATCTTTCGTTAGGTATGTTTTGCAAATATTTTTTTCCAACTCTGTAGCTTGCCTTTTCAGTTTTCTTTTAACATTCTGAAGAGCAGAAGTTTTTAATTTTGATGAAATGCAGTTTACACTATTTAAAGAAATCTCTGCCAAACCTGATGTCACTAAGATCCTTTCTTGTGCCTTATTCTATTAATTTGTGGGTTTAGCTATTACATTTAGATTTATGATTCATCTCAAGTAAATTTTTATATGAGGTATGAGGCAAGGGTTGAGGATCATTCTTTGCCTATAGCTATCCAATTATTCCAGCATCACTTGTTGAAAGGATCATCCTTTCCTGCTTGAATTGCCTTGGCACCTTTGTCAGAAATCAATTCACCATATATGACCCAAAGGGTCTACTTCTTGGCTTTCTATTCTATTCCATCAATCTATACGTTTATCCATATGCCAATATCACTTTATCTTGACTACTGTGCCTTTAAAGTAAGTGCTGAATTCAGGTTGTGTGAGTGCTTTCTCCAGCTTGTTCTTTTTCAAAATTGTTTTAACTATTCAA